TGTTGGCCTTCTGCTTCCCCTTCGTGCAGTAGCCATGAAAGGAGCTAGGGGTCACTTTGACTGGCCTGGCACGCATGATGTGCTGGTATCGCAGGACACCAAAGGTAACCAGCCAGCTGGACAGTAAGCCCCTCCAACGCGGGTCCCCTGCTTCGTACAACGATTGAATCTTCTCTTCAAGCGCTGCAATCATTGGGGGCTCAACTGCAACAGCCTGTTCTGGGTTTGCCTGTTTGGGTGGATTCTTACGAGCTGGGACTGGTACATCACTGAAGTCCCATTGCAACCGACCATGTTTGGAGAACCACTTCAAGGAGTGAAAGGCTCGGTAAGGCCCCGACGTGCCATTCTGCAAGAAGCCATAGAGGTCCAATGCATCCGGTGGGAACAAGCGGTCCTTCTGCTCCATGTAGGCCCGCAACTCAGCCCAAGACTTCAGGGCGTTCACCACCGTCGCTCCTTCGGCCTCTGTGACCTTCCGCTTAGACAAAGTATCCAGAGCATCCTGCCACTGAGCGTACCTCTCCGGGGTCAACTCCCCTTGAGGACGCATGACCTTGGCCTGAGAAAAGGCCTTCCTCAATGCCGCAGCTCGTAGCAGCACCGTCTCTGGTTGGTCTGGGCCTGGCCTGACTCGAAGAGCTTGGACCATCTTGCTCTTCTTCATCATGGACGCCTTGGGCGCAGGCCATGTCGTTGGCCGATCTCTGGAACCCGAGCTCTCAGCCACGGCAGCCGCTTGAGGGATGAGGTCAGCTTCGGCAGTCTTGGATCGCGCTTGCAACCACGCGTCTGCCACATGGTGTCCTCCATGTGCAACTGCGCTGTCATAGGATGCAAACGCATATGCGAAGTCAGTCTCGTCATGTAGTCCCCATTGAGCTCGCCACTGTTCAACACGAGTGGATGCCACCCTCTCCATCGCCGTCTCTGCACAAGGTGGAGCCTCACCAGCAGCCTGCACCGCGTAGGCACCTGGGTGGTACGCCATGGCGACGCCTGACACCACCGCTGCCAAGGTTTGGAGCGTACGGGCTGGGCCTGAAACTGCAGACCAAACCTCAGTATCATCAGGTGACAAACAAACATCACTAGGCCGCAGCTGCTGCATATGGGTCTCGACGCAAGACGGGGTGACATCCTGGACACTGGGAGGGTGGACAGGTGCTGCACACGGAGGAGAAGCATCGCTCACAGAGCTCAGGTGTCGGCAGTCCACAAGCCTTGCAAGGTGGCAAGGGTTCCTCCCCAGCCTCCATGGCACCAAGCCAACCCCATAACGACCGGACTGCTCTGGCCCGTGGTGCTCTCCACGCAACCAGGTCCGCCGGGATGGGCACCAAGGATGGGTCCCTCCATCCACGCTGTGGGGATTGCCAGGTCCTCCACACATCCCAAAGTTCGGTGAGGTCGACCATGCTATCGGCATTGTGCTCGATGAAGGCGACCAAGCCAAAGACGTTGTCCGGCGCAAAGTCCCGAGCCGTCCAATGAGTCCGCAGCGGCTCGATGAGTAGCAAATCCAGCTTCGCCTCGCCCAGGCGATCATAGTAGGATTGCCACGCACGCCGCGGGTCACTCCCGGGCAGAGCCAAGACAGCTGAGCTGTTCCATGTGCCGATCCAAGGGAACTTGAATCCTCCCTGATACTCAGTACACCTCCTACAGTTTTCTTCCATACAAGGTGACCGTCTGAAAGGGGGAAGTCCCTGCACCCCCAACCCAATTGGATGTGGGGGGAAATGATCAATTTGGCACACGGACGCCCACAGTCGGGTGGCCTCTGCCACCAAGCCCCGCTGGAGCAGGCTCTCCACGTGCGTCTTGAACTCGTAGTAGGCAGCCGCATGAAGCAGCTCCACATCCGTGTGGGCCGCCTCATTCCAACCGGGCCGAACGACGATGGAGGCCCTGGGCATCGAGGGGGTGACCTCCCACCTTCGTAACCTCTGTACTCTAGGGTAACGCCCTAGTAGAGGAACGAGAAACCACTGAACCGAGGGTAACTCCCTAGAAGTGGTGTGGGTACCCCAACAAAAGAAAGAACGATGAAGCCAGTTTGGCTCAGACTTGAGCCAAAATGGATTCATCAGCTTACATACTCACCCTAATGATAATGCACACCCAGTGCCTGCCAAACACGATGCATACATATGCCGGCCCAGCAGCCGAACGCAAACATTCCGCTACCGGTCCATTAAGCAAAACAAAAGGTTCTGTTACCGGCTCAGTAAACAAAACAAAACAACATTAAGAACCATGAGTTCTAACTTTTTGGAACCAACAGATCCTTCCACTGGTAACGTATGCTTTTTCAGGTTTGGAACCATGAGTTTCAAGCTTTGGGAATCCGCAGTTCCTTACAATGATAGTTGCTTAGCTTCGAAAACATAAATTCTAACTTCTGGGACCCGGCAATTCCTTGCAATGGTAACCTCTGGTTCCCAGGTTGGGAACCGTAAGTTTCAAGGTCTGGGAACCGGCAGTTCCTTGCCATGGTAACCTTTGGTTCCCAAGTTGGGAACCGTCAGTTCCAACCTTTAGGAACCGGAAGTTCTTTGCAATGGTAACCTATGGTTCCCAGGTTGGGAAGCATGAGTTCCAAACCTCTGGTAACCGGCAGTTGCTTGCAATGGTAACCCATGGTTCCCAGGTCGGGAACCAGCAGCAGCAGTGGTAACCTGTGGTTCCCACGTTGGCAAGCGTGAGTTCCAACCTTTGGGACCCGGCAGTTCCTTGCCATGAACCAAACGCAAACATTCCGGTACCGGTCCATCAAGCAAAACAAAGCGTTCTGTACCGGTCCATTAAGCAAAACCAAAAAATTGTAAAGAAACTTTTTTCATATCATTTTGACATGCACCTTCTTCGTGCAAAAACATTTTTATGCCGGCCCAACAGCCAAACGCAAACATTCCGCTACCGGTCCATTAAGCAAAACAAAAGGTTCTGTTGCCGGCTCAGTAAACAAAACAAAACAACATTAAGAACCATGAGTTCTAACTTTTTGGAACCAACAGATCCTTCCACTGGTAACGTATGCTTTTTCAGGCTTGGAACCATGAGTTTCAAGCTTTGGGACCCCGCAGTTCCTTACAATGGTAGCCACTTAGCTTCGAACGCATAAATTCTAACTTCTGGGACCCGGCAATTCCTTGCAATAGTAACCTCTGGTTCCCAGGTTGGGAACCGTAAGTTTCAAGGTCACAAGGTCTGGGAACCGGCAGTTCCTTGCCATGGTAACCTTTGGTTCCCACGTTGGGAACCATCATTTCCAACCTTTAGGAATTGGAAGTTCTTTGCAATGGTAACCTATGGTTCGCAGGTTGGGAAGCATGAGTTCCAACTTCTGGGAACCGGCAGTTGCTTGCAATGGTAACCTCTGGTTCCCAGGTTGGGAACCATGAGTTCCAACCTCTGCCAACCTTTGGGAACCGGCAGTTCCTTGTCATGAACCAAACGCAAAAAATCCGGTACCGGTCCATTAAGCAAAACAAACAGTTCTTTACCGGTCCATTAAGCAAAACCATAACTGTTTTCATATTATTTTAACATGCCCCTTTTTCGTGCAAAACATTTTTATGTCGGCCCAGCAGCCGAACGCAAACATTCCGCTACCGGTCCATTAAGCAAAACAAAAGGTTCTGTTACCGGCTCATTAAACAAAACAAAACAACATTAAGAACCATGAGTTTTAACTTTTTGGAATCAACAGATCCTTCCACTGGTAACGTATGCTTTTTCAGGTTTGGAACATGAGTTTCAAGCTTTGGGAATCCGCAGTTCCTTACAATGATAGTTGCTTAGCTTCGAAAACATAAATTCTAACTTCTGGGAACCGGCAATTCCTTGCAATGGTAACCTCTGGTTCCCAGGTTGGGAACCGTAAGTTTCAAGATCTGGGAACCGGCAGTTCCTTGCCATGGTAACCTTTGGTTCCCACGTTGGGAACCATCAGTTCCAACCTTTTCTATCTGGGGTCTATGCCGGTGTAATTTTTATTCTGGATTTTCTTTAGAGTTGGTCAAAAATTGGTTAAAAACTTTATTTATTGTTTAGTGCCAGTTAGTTTACAGTTTAAGGTTCGTTTAAGGTTTGGATAAATAAGGTTGGCTTTGGTTGCAATTGGTTTAGAAATTTATTTACGGTTGGTAGTTGGTTCAGGGTTGCTTTGTTTTATTGAAAGTTGGTGAATAACTTTTCCGAAGACGATTGGCCCAAAACTTTACTTATGGTGGCTGGCTGGCTTGCTTGCTTGCTGGTTGGCTGGCTGGCTCGCTTGCTTACTTCTTTGCTTGCTTCCTCAATCTGCTGCCTTCCTGGCTTGCTTGCCTGCATGCAAAGTGGTTGCTTGCTCTGGCTTACCTGCATGGCTGGCTTGCTTGCTTGCTTGCTAGCTGGCTGGCTTGCTTGCTTGCTTGCCCCCGTGCTTGCTGGCATGCTTGCATGCTTGCTTGCTGGTTGGCTGGCTTGGCTGGCTTGGCTGGCTTGGCTGGCTTGGCTGGCTTGGCTGGCTGGCTGGCTTGCCTGCCTGCCTGCTTGCTTGCTTGCTTGCTGCCTTACTTGGTTGCTCAGTTGCTCAGTTGCTTGCTTGCTTCCTTGCCTGGTTTGCTTGCTTGCTGGCTGGCTTGCTGGCTGGCTTGCTTGCTTGGCCCGCCTGCCTGCCTGCCTGCCTGGCTTGCCTGCTTGCTTCATTGTGAAAGGATGATCAGGGAAAAAAATACCCGGGAAGGGGGAAAAATACCTAGGAAAATAGCGAGCCAAAAATAAACCCCAACTTAGTCTCATCTTTCTTTGCATTGTAAGCCTGCTATCTGCTACTAGTTGCCAGTATTTGCTAATGGTCTCTCAGAAGTTAACACCCAACCACCAACAACAGATCCTGGTAAATGACATCTGTTCAAGTTACAACCCCAAACATAAGACAGAATCTGGAGACTTCACAGGGTTCTTTTAGGCTGTTGCTTGGCTCTCCCTTGCAAACCACATTCAGGTTCCACCTGAACATCTGCACCGGAGTCCGAAGCGCTGGCTCGCTCTGTGCTCAACACCTTTGAGCGGAGTGTTTGGCCGTCAATACCGTTCATCTTCTGTTTTCAAAAATGACAATAAAAACATGTCCCTTGGCTCTCTATGCACTGACTGCGGCAAATCCATAACATTGCCACATGATCCGCATGGCTTTGCTGAGCATGATTGCTGCGCATCAAATCTGCCTCTCTCAATGATCAAGCACGAGTTGCGGCCTGCACATCGTCCAGGACAGACTCGACTATGCTTGCCGCCGCCTCTTGCTCCGGTTCCTGGGAAGCTTGTTCGCAAACTAAATAGCAAACTGGTGCAGAATCCTCTTGTCCAGTGCTTTTCTCTCTATCAGTCAAAAAAACGTCAGCAGAGTGCTCAACTGTCTGTGCCGAGCAAACAGGGTGTGACAAACTCAGGGCCCTACTGCTGCAGCCTGAACAATCTCTGGACCGGCGTCAGCTTCACTTGCTTGCTGTTGATCGGAGTCCTTCGCATCTGAGATCACACCAGTTCCTTCCTGCAATTGCCCATCTGCCCATCTTTTCAAATAGCCCATCTTCTCAATTCATGCAAACTTTGACAATGACACAATATCCAATCCATTCTACGGCGAGGCTGAAAGAGGTCTGCAAACCCTTCCAGCCTTCGTCTCCTTTGGACCTGACTCCGAAGCACTTCCATCTGGGCTCTTGACCTTGCCGCCATGCTTTGTAAAATTTTGTAAAGAGGATGGAGTGCAAATGTTGTCAAAGTGCAAGTCCGCTATATATACATACATATCAAACATTTTCAAACCGTATCAATATCATTCAATATCCTGTCCTGTCAACCAACATCTTGCTTTGGGTTTAATCCCTTCCTCCTAATACTAAACGTCCCCCTAATACTAAAAACAGGCATCCATCTCCAATTTCCGAAAATTTCAGTTTGGCCAATTTGACTTTTAATTGATCCCCCTTAAAAAACAATTTAAAAATCAACCTACCATTTGTGGGTTCTCCCCCCTAATACTAAAAACTAGTTCACCCCGGGGTGTTTAGTATTAGGGGGGCCTAGTCCCAATCCCTCACTCCAAGCTGCCTAGCTACTCTAGCAATTAGGGGTAAGCTTCTAACTGCCATTTTTGGCAATATTTTAATTGCGTTATATAAGGAAATTTAATTGATTTTGAGATCGTAAAAAATAGTTTTTAGTATTAAGGGTTTTAATTTAGTATTAGGGGTAAGCTTCGAACTGCCATTTTTGGCAATATTTTAATTGCGTTATATAAGGAAATTTAATTGATTTTGAGATCGGAAAAAATAGTTTTTAGTATTAAGGGTTTAATTTAGTATTAGGGGTAAGCTTCGAACTGCCATTTTTGGCAATATTTTAATTGCGTTATATAAGGAAATTTAATTGATTTTGAGATCGGAAAAAATAGTTTTTAGTATTAAGGGTTTTAATTTAGTATTAAGGGTAAGCTTCGAACTGCCATTTTTGGCAATATTTTAATTGCGTTATATAAGGAAATTTAATTAATTAATTAACATGACTTCGATTTGGTTCCCTAATAATAAATACCCCCCTAATACTAAAAACTACCTGCCGTGTTTTGTATTAGGGGGGGGGGTTTAGTATTAGGAGGAAGGGATTAGTTTAGTTGTCGATTGACCTGTCAAAAAAACGGACTTAGTCTCATCTTTCTTTGCATGGTAAGCCTGCTATCTGCTACTACTTGCTAGGCGAAGGAAGTTTAGAAGTCAAACTTCCGACAATATGGACAGATGAAAAAGCAGAGGTGGGAAGAGTCAGAGAAGAGAAGAGAGACAAGAGAAAAAATTCAGAGAGAAGAGAAAAGAGCCAGAAAACAGAAGATGCAGGCGCGCGAAAAAGGCAGCAAAGTCGCGAAACATTGTGTTTTTGTGGCTCCAGCGGGTTGAAAAGTAGGCTCGCCAAAGCGACGGGCGCAGAGCCATCTGGCCAGATGAGAGATGACAAGTTGCACGCCGTTGTAGCGCGAAGCATTTTCGAAGTCAAAATGTACAAAATACACTATGCTCGGACCACTTTTGGAAGTTGCGATGTCGAAAAAGTGCACACCGTTGTGGTGCGAAGCACATTTCGAAGTCAAAATGTGCAACACCCCCGTGCCGGACCACTTTTTGACGTTGCGATGTCGAAAAAATGCACGCCGTTGCGGCATGCAGCACATGTCGAAGTCAAAAATGGAAAACTAGCGGGCACGGAGCACTTTTGCAAGTCGTGATGTCGAAAAAGTGCACGCCGTTGTGGCGCGAAGCACGTTTCGAAGTCAAAATGAACAAAACACCTCAGTGTCGGAACAGAAGTTGTGATGTCGAAAAAGTGCACACCGTTGTGGCGCGAAGCACATTTCGAATGCAAAAAGTACAACACCCCCGTGCCGGACCACTTTTTGACGTTGCGATGTCGAAAAAATGCACGGAAAACTAACAGGCACGGAGCACTTTTGCAAGTCGTGGTGTCGAAAAAGTGCACGCCGTTGTGGCGCGAAGTACAAAACACATCCGTGTCGGACCACTTTTGGAAGTTGAGATGTCGAAAAAGTGCACGCCGTTGTGGCGCGAACCACATTTCAAATCAAAATGAACAAAACACCTCAGTGTCGGAACACTTTTGGAAGGGTGATGTCGAAAAAGTGCACGCCGTTGTGGCGCGAAGCACATTTCGAAGTCAAAATGAACAAAACACCTCAGTGTCGGAACACTTTTGGAAGTCGTGATGTCGAAAAAGTGCACGCCGTTGTGGTGCGAAGCACATGTCGAAGTCAAAATGTAAAAAACACACTAGGGTCGGACCACTTTTGGAAGTTGCGACGTCGAAAAAGTGCACGCCGTTGTGGCGCGAAGCACATTTCGAAGTCAAAATGAACAAAACACCTCAGTCTCGGAGCACTTTTGGAAGTTGTGATGTCGAAAAAGTGCACGCCGTTCTGGCGCGAAGCACATTTCGAAGTCAAAATGAACAAAACACCTCAGTGTCGGAACACTTTTGGAAGTTATGATGTCGAAAAAGTGCAGGCCTTTGTGGCGTGAAGCACATTTCGAAGTCAAAAGTTTAAAACTGGCAGGTACGGAGCACTTTTGGACGTTCAGCCGCCGTTTTGCGTGGCAGGCGCAAGGGGTTGTGCACCTTGTCAAAACGGTACAAAACGTGAGGGTTTTGTAGCAGTGTCCAAAACAATGGCAGCTTTTCGCGTGGCAGGCGCAATACAAGAGACACATGAGTTAGATATGTTAGGAGGTCAGGGCGGAAATTTCTTGAGATGGGTTGCACTTGGGAGCATCAGATCGTCAGGTTTGCTAAGATTATTTTGCGTGACAGGTGCAACACTTCGTATGACCTGGCATCACTTTCTTGTGGCAGGCGCAATACTTTAGACAGGTGAATGGAAAAATGGCAAAACGCATTGGTACAAGGCCGTCAGCTCTGGACTCAACTTTCCATTTTTGAAGGACATCTCGCAGAATTGCTTCGTTTTTGATGCTGTCAACTTCGAAAACTCAGGAAGTCTCGCAGAATTGCTTCGTTTTTGACATTGTCAAGTTCAAAAATTGAAGAAGTCTCGCAGAATTGCTGCCTTTGTGATGTTGTCAAGTTTAAAAATTGAGGAAGTCTAGCAGAATAGCTTCGTTTTCAAGCCTGCAGATAGACAGATAGTAGATTAGATTAGCTTAGCTTAGATTAGGTAGATTGATAGATTGGTAGATTGGTAGATAGATGGATGGATGGATGGATAGATAGATAGATAGGTAGATAGATAGATAGATAGATAACTACAGCTACAGCTACACAACTGCAACTGCAACTACAACTACAACTACAACTACGCTACACTACAACGACAACTACACTACTTCACAACACTACACTGGACTACACCACACTATTCTACACTAGAGTACAGAACACGACAGTACACTACACTACAGTACACTACACTACCCTAGAGTACGCTACACTACTTTACAACTACAACCACAACCACAACAACAACTACACTAACTACACTACACTACAACTACAGCTCCACCACACTACGACTACAACTACAACTGCACTACACCACACTACATCCAGCAGTTGTGGGTGGGGTGGCCACTGCAACCATTGCAGCCAGTCAAAAAAACACAACTCCAACCACCTTTCGGTCCATCAGTGGATTCGCTCTTCCATCTGGGATTCACAACAACCAACCTCTCCAAGAGGTTCCCTATTTTTGAAACTTCCGCCACCGCCTTGTGCGGTACTACTGGTACGAGTATTTGCTAATGGTCTCTCAGAAGTTGACACCCGGCCAACCGGCCAACAACAGATCCTGGTAAATGACATCTGTTCAAGTTACAGCCCCAAAACATAAGAAAGAATCTGGAGAACTCACAGGTTTCTGTTAGCCACTTGCTTCGCTCTCCCTTGCAAACCACATTCAGGTTCCATCTGCACCGGAGTCCAAGACGCTATTAAACTTTTTTAGGCTTCACGTTTATAGAAACCCGCGTCGTTTCTTCTGCCGCATGACGTGTGTGTGTGTGTGCGCAAGTGCCAGAGAAAATCCCCATAGCGTAGCATGACGTGTGTGTAAGTGCAAGAGAAGATCCCCATAGCATAGCATGGCTTGTGTGTGCAAGTGCAAGCGAAGATCCCAATTGCGAAGCATGACGCGCCCGCGCGCGCGCGCGCGCGTGTGTGTGTGTGTGCGTGTGCGTGTGCGCGTGCGCGTGCGCGTGCGCGTGCGCGTGCCCGGGTGTGTGTGTGTGTGTGTCTGTGTCTGTGTGCAAGTGCAAGAGAAGATCCGCATTGTGTGGCGTGATGTGCGTCTGCAAGTGCAAGAGAAGATCCCAATTGCGTGGCATGACGTGTGCGTGTGCGCTTTTGCAAGAACGAGACAGTATATCCCCATAGCGTAGCATGACGTGTGTGTGTGTGTGTGGACCATCTGCACAGATGTAAAACTTCCTTTTGGTTGGTTGATGGTTCTGGTTTGTTTTTTCTTGATTTTGTACTATGTTTGCAGGGGGGCAATCTCATGTTTGCAGCTGATTGCCCAACGAAGAGGGCTGCATTCATGACTGATATGACTCTGGGACGCTGGAGTCACGTACCTGCATTTCCAATTATCGTCAATGGCAACCGGCTAAGCCAAGTACCGGCATGTCGTTTGTTTTTTCCAATTTTCATTTTGGATTATGCTGCATCTGAACCTTCCTCAGAGCTCCGTTTTCAACAGGTTTCAATCCACTGTACGGTTTTCGCAATCTGAACTATTGCCGATTTGTCAGATGGAACAGTTGCTTTTAGCAAGGACAAAGAAAGAATTCATCTACATTGGTTTTCCTGCCCAGTCATCCAACTTCTCCTGTCAGACTTTAGGGGATTGTTTGTGCACGCCCGATGCATTCCACATCAGTAATTCGATAAGATATTTCTGAGCAAGTGTGTCACTCATACCGTTGTCCGACAAGGTGGTATGAGCCCTTCGGGGAAAGCCTTTCTAGGCTAACAATTGACGGTAGCACGATGTCTGAATTTACACTTTTGAATTAGTAATTCGTCTAAGTAAAGTGAACTGCTGGCCATTTTTCGATTCTCACCCTGTCGATGTCGTTTGGTTAAACAACTGGCCGCTGTGACTGGCCTCGCCTTTTCTTTGACCGTTGTTCGCATATCTGGAAGCCACGACAACAACCTTCCCTTTCTCAAGAGACAGCCACTCCGCAGCCATTTCACATGATTTCACAGGCAACAGGACATGCTTTT